ATTTGCCGACGATATAGTCCTTATGGCAGAATCGCTGGAGGACCTTAGCACTATGCTCAATGACCTCAATGGTGTCTCCAAACGGATAGGTCTTAAGATGAACATGGACAAAACAAAGATCATGTTTAATGTCCATGTCACACCTATGCCGGTAGTTGTTGGGAGCACTATGCTCGAAGTTGTTGACGAGTACGTTTACCTGGGACAAATAGTCCGATTAGGTAAGTCCAACTTCGACCGAGAGGTCAATCGATGGATTCAACTCGGCTGGGCAGCGTTCGGGAAATTACGACACATCTTCTCGTCAGGTATACCTCAATCTCTGAAAACTAACGTTTATAACCAGTGCGTGTTGCCAGTGAAGACTTACGGATCTGAGACGTGGTCCTTCACCGCTGGCCGTATGAGGACCCTCAAGGTCGCTCAGCGAGCTATGGGGAGGGCTATGCTCGGAGTTTCACTGCGTGGTAGACTCAGAAATGAGGATATCCGCAGTAAAACCAGAGTGACCGACATAGCCCAACGGATTAGTAAGTTGAAGTGGCAATGTGCCGGCCATATATCTCGAAGAACCGATAACCGATGGGGAAGAAAGGTTCTCAAGTGGCAGCCTCGTACCGGTAGGCGTAGTGTAGGGCGACCCCCCACTAGTTGGAGTGACGAGACTCGTAAGACATGCAGGAAGTCGATGGATGTAGGTGGCTCAGGACCGTGCTTTGTTGCATTACTTGGGGGAGGCCTATGTTCAGCAGTGGACTTATGATGGGCTGTAATGATGATGATGATGATGATGACACTGGATAAATGAGCAAAGATTTCAATGATATTGAATAGCCTTGGCCTCGTTATATGGATCAATATACACATAATATTTTCGGGAAATTACGACACATCTTCTCGTCAGGTATACCTCAATCTCTGAAAACTAAAGTGTATAACCAGTGCGTGTTGCCAGTGAAGACTTACGGATCTGAGACGTGGTCCTTCACCGCTGGCCGTATGAGGACCCTCAAGGTCGCTCAGTGAGCTATGGGGAGGGCTATGCTCGGAGTTTCACTGCGTGATAGACTCAGAAATGAGGATATCCGCAGTAAAACCAGAGTGACCGACATAGCCCAACGGATTAGTAAGTTGAAGTGGCAATGTGCCGACCATATATCTCGAAGAACCGATAACCGATGGGGAAGAAAGGTTCTCAAGTGGCAGCCTCGTACCGGTAGGCGTAGTGTAGGGCGACCCCCACTAGTTGGAGTGACGCAGGTCGTCACTCGTAAGACATGCAGGAAGTCGATGGATGCAGGTGGCTCAGGACCGTGCTTTGTGGCATTACTTGGGGGAGGCCTATGTTCAGCAGTGGACTTGTGATGGGCTGTAATGATGATGATGATGATGATGACACTGGACAAATGAGCCAAGATTTCAATGATATTGAATAGCCTTGGCCTCGTTATATGGATCAATATACACATAATATTTGAAACAACATTAGGTTTCATTCGTCAAAATAAAGTCTTATGAAAATAAATACAAAAGTAGAATCACTTGAAATATATTATGCGTTATTTTTGGGTACTTATTTTGGATAAACTTTGTTTCAAAAAGGTTTAAGGTTATTTTATACCTTCCGAAATTATGTTAATAGTATTTTGTGGTGGCAGTACAAACCACAACTTTTCTAATGTTTCTGCGCTTTTTAGTTGTGCCGGAATGATTGTGCCCATCTGGCTACATGAAATATTCTATTTCACTTAATATTAGAGAAGAGATTTCCCATAGTCAGTCTCAAAAAAAAATGCAGAGAGATGCAATGTCTTCGCTAAATTTCATCATTAATGATATGAAACGCTGCCGTTAAATACGGCCAAGTAAAATAAATCGGTGCTGGGGTGCCCTGACTAAGAGAAAAAAATAGGAACTTACGTCTTGTAAAGTTGCAATCTAGTGTTGTCGCGAAAAACCGTCTCCGCCTACAGAGTATTCGAAGCTTTAGAAAGGTCAATTTAGCATTTTCTGTCAAGTTACTGCGAAATCATATGTCACTCAATTTGTTGTTGCTGAGGATTCCGATACCGACTGAGTCAACAAAGGAAACGCACTCTAAAAGAAGACATACGACAATAATTTATTTTTAGCGATGAACGCACAATCCTTTACCACCTAAAGATAAATCTAGTTTTAATTTAGTGGCGCTCACAATGAGCAATTGAACGATTCTGTAAGCCGGATCAGACAATGGTCTGAAGAGCCAAGAGGGATACCGGAAAAGACCAGATAGCCAACACAAAAGGTTAAAAAAATGTTGTTTATCAGTCTGCAGTATCATATTATATCCTTGTGTGCCATACAAATGATAACCTCAACCTTAGTGATACCCATGATTAAAATTAAATATTCTCTTTGTTAAATAGGCAATTGCCTTGCTCAAGTTGATTGTCTAGTCTAGTCACGAAACTTTAAAATAAACTGAAATTATATTACTATACTATGTTTCCAATTAATCCTAAATTGTAATTTATAAATCGTTTTAGGAAACTGCATTTCATACACATCCTGATTTATACATATTTTGATTCTCACATTAAATTTGTGCTATTACACTGGTATTAATAATATTATTTTCCTTTAAAATTTTGTTATTTACTAACAAGTTGAAGGTTCTGGTATTCAATCGTTATCACTATTACTAATATTACAGCCCATCACTAGTCCACAACCGAATAAATGCCCCTCAATAGGCTGGCAAAATGTACGATCCTTTGCCACGGACATAAATCGATCAGCGGCCGGTTTCATCAGGTGGTCACTTCACCTAATGGGGGATCACTAACACTGCGCTTGCCAGAACTGGGATTCCGCTCGAAAAAATTTCTTCGAATCCCCATAAAACCCGAAATTTACATTAAAAAGTTGTGTGACACTATGTCAGGAACGTATAGGTTAGGAGTAAGTGTGACTATGTTAATGCTTACACCTAAAGCTCTATTTAATCCTCCTGCACTGTTAATTGGTTCTGGATTGAAGTTGACACAGTAATCGTAAACCAGAAAAATATAATCAAATAGCTGTTAAATAAAACATATTGCTTTTAATTTATGACATTATTCACAGTCTTTTATTTGAAAAATTCTTGCTAAAATTGTGAAATCAAGGAGTTAGTCATAAAATAATGCAAATTTTTTACTGTCAGGAACAAACTGTGCAAAAATAAATCGCAAGTTATACATGGTAATATGAAGCGAAATAATGACCAGTATTTTATATTATCCTCATTCCCATACCGCAAAGGAGAAAGCCGATCTGCTAGGCTCTTTCTTTGCGTCCAACTCGACTCTCGATGACGGGGGGATTACGCCGCCGACCATCCCGCGGTGTGAGTGCTCCATTTCGGAAGTGCAGTTCACACCTACGCTAGCCGAGATAGGGTGACTATTCCGTGCTTTGTTTATATATTTTACTATGTGTATATTCTCCATTCAAGAGTATTTCTTACTTTACAAGAACCGTCTTTAAGCCAGAATAATCCAGTGTATTAAAAAGACGATTAATAAGTACATATTTAGGACAGTGAAATAGACTTTTAGAACATATGTAAACTTTTTTCGTTTTATCTATTCCTAAGTATGATAGTGCCTAAGTCTAGCATTTATCACCACGTGAAGTTCCGAACCAATGATTGATGCTGTTAACTTAATTAATCTTGGTCAAGACTGCTTTCGCGTGTCGTTCCTTGATTACTTCTCTTTTAAAGGACGGGATATATTTCGACATTGCATGGAAATTGTATTCACCGTACACAATATGCGTAATAAATTCTTAATTTTGATTTTATTTCTTCGTTTTATCTTTAATAAAAATAAAGAAGTTCATAGGATCTGTTTGTTTATAGACTTTCTGAATTTCAGGTCACATAAGTCAGGCTTTATAAGACGGGTGAAAATCAAAACACGTTTTCGAATTTTCATTTTAACTGTTTGTTTGTACAGTACTGAGAATGAGAGTTCCACAAAGTGAGATTGGATTTTTATAGTTGTATTCTTATCGCCTCTATTAAAAAAATCTTAGCCATTACTTATAAACAAATAATATTTATTCATTAATATAGAGTTCATTCAACAGAAAACACAGCCTATCCTTTATTCAGTTATAATTATAGTAATGATGATGATGCTCATTTAGAATACCGTTAGGGGAACTTTAACAGTTGACTCACCATGGAAATATATATATATATATATATATATATATATATATATATATATATATATATATATATATATATATTTCCAAACATTACCTCGCAACCCTTAGAATTAAAAACGTCTTAGTATGTGAATTTTCGGGTCAATGATTAATGTTCATGAGGTTTAATTAATCTTATTCGCGCTTACAAAGTCTAAGCTGGGCTTGATAACTTCACATCTTATTTGTCATGCTGTGTTGTAAGTTATTTACAAAACTTGCACCTGATTAGTTGGCCTTAATTAAGTTGATGATTGCCCATAACTTTTTATGTAACATTTTTTCCAAGTTTTTAGCTCCTGTTTGGAAATTGTTGTACGTAATTGCTCTAATTTCTGATGTTCAGAATTTCTCTCTATACTAGGTAATTTAATTTGAATTTAATATGAATTTGTTTACTTTAGTCGATGAGTAAACGCTCTCGTAACGCGGTCGACCGTCTAGTAGACACCGAGTTGACTGTTCTTTTACGCTGAATCTTAAGGAAAAGCTGAGTTGGTGTCATTAGCTGTGGCGTTTTCTGCTCAGAATACAACCATTGGGTATTATAAGAGGCACGTTCATAAGAGAATTGTTGCCTGACCGGAATACTTCTACGCCTTTTAATAAAGTTATATTAAAAACCATGAAATTACTAGCATTTTCGTAAAATATGAAAATACAATCATAAGTGAGATTAGTTTTCATAAGAGTTTTGTTTCAAAAAAAGATACTTCAAATATGTATGTTAAAATAATATTGTTTTCTTGAATTTACGTTATTCACAAAACAGTTCGCAATACATCTGGTTCGTCAGCGAAAATCAAGCCGTTTGTATCATTATACGAAAGTGATTTATCTATTTGCCACTCCCTTAGAGTTTTCACTTTTGTTCCAGGAATAACATTACTATCTTCATATTTCGATTTATAAAGTTCAATATGAAACGTGTCAAGTTGTTCACGTATATAGTTTATAGGCACTTTTGATATTGCAAGTAGCTTAGGTTTGTCCGTATTAATGTCACTAGCTTGTCTTGTTTCATATAATTCGTAAATGAGGTATTTGTCGTGAGATTTAGGGACTCTGAGAAAAACAGCGTAGTCATTACCCACATGAAGAAAGCCTTTCACGTTATGTTCAGATTTGAAGCCATCAATATATTGAAATAATTTATGAAGACGGACAGCCATTGCTTGAAATGAAAAGAATACTGGATATAAAATAAAAAATGATTGCTGTAAACCAAAAAAAGACAATAGGTATATAATCGGTTATTTTTTAAATTACAAAAACATTTCAAATATTAAATAAAAAGCAGGAGCACCTCAGAGCCATACGTTATTTTTAAATTTCTATGTACGCGAGTAACTCGAGTTTGATCAAGTATCTGTGTGCCATTTTAAGTGCTGGTTGACTGCGTCTATCTGTAATATATAAATGTCGAGGACATGTGAATATTCTCAAAATATATCTATAATAAACAGAGAGGAATCTTGTACCCAGAAGAGTGATACTTATAGGCAGTACAGCCTTGTTGTCACTTTACTATTTAAAAAATAATATGTATACACACCCAAATCATGACAAACACAATTTTTCGCTATATTGTGAATAAAAAGTCGAAGTATTGAGAGAACCATAAAACGCAATCGTTTACATTAAATATTTTATTTATTTGAATTTTATGGGGATTGAAATTTGTGATAATTTTTACAACTTAAGTTTTATTTCTTAAAATTTGATAGAAAAATGTTTTTTTTTATTATTATTATTTTGTTCCTTCTAAGTGAAAAAGAAATAATTACGACGTAAGAGATAAATTAATGTATGTAGGCAAGGTAGAGAAATATAAAATTATCAGGTCAAGGATGAAGCACAGCGTCAAAAGTACGACTGTGATTTTAAATCTTATTATATGAAATGAAGAGCGAGCATGAAAGAGGCCCTGGTTGAGCTGCAGACGGTTTACTGGTAATGAAATATGATGAGTTTCGACTGCGCAACACATATTATAGTGCCATGACTACACAACACAGTGGCTGCAAATATAACAGGTTATTTTTATAAATTTGGCAAAGCGGAAACAATCAGATTCAAAAACTCTCTTAATGTTATATTTATAACTGTTGTCCGTCCTTTTTTTTTCATTTGTTTGATTTTCACATTAGAGTAACTCACTAAATATGTTATACCAAGACTTACATAATTTTTAAATATGGATACTTCTCCAGTATGCGGCTAAAGAATTGTTTTTCATTATTATAACATTTAATACAGAAATTAAAAACACACTTTATTTATTGATTGATAGGGCTTAAACTTTATTTTTAAACTATTCGTAATTGAGTAGACTCTAAACAAAGTACATAATATTGTTATGAAAATCAATAACAAAAAAAAACTAAGTGCAATTAGCTCTCTTCGCTCTTTTTGTCGGTCCTACTTAAAACGTCATTTACATTTCGGTTTTATGTACATATATATTTGATATAATCCGTGCATTGTAAAAGACGATTAAATGAAAGAGATGATGAGATCCTTGAATCGATTTAAGACGTCTATATTAAGAAGTTTGCGAATGTTTTGAATATTTTAAGGATCTTCAAATCTTCAAATTTCCCCCAAGCCTTCAAAATTATGAACGAGGCCTAAGTTTTATTCAGGATATTTAAGTCAATATTTCAGTCAGGTTTTCGTAGAAGGTGTCAGAGGGAAATGTGAGGAAGTCGTGAAAGTTCAGCAGTGAACACTAAGTTAAAAAGATAAAGTTAGAGCCTATATACGTCCCATTGCTGGGCCTCCTCTCATATTAGAGGATTGTAGGGCAAGGAAATGTCTGCCACGTTGCCCCAATACGTGTCGACAAACTTCACATTTATTCAAAAGTTTTTTTTTTCTTATTTCTCAGACATGCAGATTTTCCCACGATGTTTACCTTCGCCATCGAAATTGTAGTAAATCAACACTTATAATTGCAATTTACAATTTCTATGGTGCTGTCAGGAATCGAACCCGGGTCACTTGCGTACTGTAAATTTTAGAGCAAGCGCTTAACCCCTAAGCTCTGTGAATACTTGTGGGTGCGCGAAAAATGACCAAAGGTATGGAAAGGCGAACAATCAAGTGGGCTATATTAGCGTTGTTCAAAAGGAAACAAGAATAATGGCGAACGTGGCACGTGGCGGACTTTGGATAAAATACTTGCCTTTTCATGAATTTGAGGCGTTGGCTGAATCGACGGGAGATGAGCTGCTGCAGAAAAAGGAACAACAAATAAAACAGCCCATAATAAGGATGGACACTTACATACCTGGGGTAAGCAGCTAGAGGCCTCTCTCTTGACGTCTTTGCGGGCGCGATGGAATTAGCATTGCGACTACGATGGCGACGCACGTCTTCTTATAGCTTCCGCCATCTCCCGTTTCTACTTGCTACCAAAAATGACCAGTAATCTAGCTCCCCCTACTAGGCAGGCCCGTGCGAAGAAAGAATGAAAGAGGTGAGGATTATGTCAGCCAACTCAACCAACAAATAGAAAATTCAAAGGTGTGCGTTGGCGCAATGAATCCCCCGGCTTGAAGGGTTCCCTCCAAAACAAACTAAAGCTACTACCAGGACTTAATTTAAACGACTAACCTAACCTAAGAAAGCAATTCCAAAATTATTGGTTAGGTAAAGGACAGAGACGTACAACATGGATGCTAATATGACCCGGTTGCGGTCTTAACACGAGCTATACTCGTTACTCCATCGGAACCAAGAAAAACCTCTTCAACGATGTTCATATGGCAAATGAAAAAGCAGCGCGTTCTCATTAGTAAGAATATCTACAGTTCTGACCGTTTATGGGTTAAATGCAGCTGTATACCATTTCTGACGCGACTGCAACGTATGCAGATATTCAGTCCTCCATTGCTTCCGAAATGATTGCAAAAACTTGTTCAGTAAGGTATGAGGTGAAAGAACATGGAGTTCATTATCGTCTATAGCTGTAGCGGGTAGGTACATTAAATGCGTAAGATTTAAAAAAAATGCCGGGGTTAAAGCTAGTAGCTCCGGATCACGGGAAAGCAAACGGCATAAAGGGCGGCTATTCATAACACACTTAATCTATGAGAATACAGTACATAATATAAATTACTCTTTGTACTTTTAATATATGTCTCGCAATTTCCCACAAAATGACTTGCGGCGGGGACGTTAAGCGAGCATTCAATGCGCTGTTCAGCTAAAGTATGTACGACCTCTGAATTATAATATTTAGAAGATAACAACCCTGATGATGTATCTGATGATGATTGATGAAATACGTTTTGCTTCGACGTCGTTTTTACCATTATCTGAGTATAATCCAACCATAGGGCTGCGGAAAGAAAGAAATCTTTTTACGGGTGCCTCTATAGGTCCCATAGCGGTAATGCCAAAATAGACCGACTCTTCAACCACGTCCAAATGGCTACAGATTCATTGCTACAGCAGATCCCCTCCGCAGAGATCGTGATCCTCAGCGATTTCAACGCCCACCACGCCGAATGGCTTGGTTCACGTTTAACCGATCATGCGGGGAGATCTGTTCGTGATTTTGCCTTGGCATATAATCTTACACAACCAGTATTTCTTCGCTTACGCAGATTCCAGATGTGGAGGATCATGCACCTTCCCTGTTGGACCTTCTACTGTCCTCTCATTCGGACACAGTCACATTAAGGTCGCAGTTGCATTTTACAGGCTTCAGACGTATGTGGCACTATAGGTCAGCCGATTAGGATAGGATATGGTCTTTCCTTGCATCCTACTCTCGGGAGCAGGTTTGTTTCTCGCTATCCCTACGTTGCCGCTGATGTGGTACTTCAGAATATGGAACTTTTTATTCCTTCCTCTGTGTTGCCCATCGGAGGTAGATCTCGGAAATGGTTAAGTGGCTCCTGTAAAATAGCATCACATTATAAGCAAGAGTGCTAAATACCGAGATTTATACACCAGCGCCTAAAAAAAGAAGTATAATTCCGCCTCCAGGTCCTTCAAAATAATCACTGCAAACGCAAAGTCAGAGCACATAAGCAGAATTAGTGAGAAACTAGTTCGCCTTCCTTCCGGAACCCGTGCATTTTGGTCTCTTGCCAAAGGAATTTCATTCATTGTCCAAGGGAATTTCATAAGTCAACCATCTCTTTCATCTCTGCATAGGGAGGACGATTATCTGACTCATGCCGGAGAGAAGAAAGCCGATCTGCTAGGCTCTTTCTTTGCGTCCAACTCGACTCTCGATGACGGGGAAAGCTCATCGTCAAGCATCCCGTGGTGTGAGTGATCCCTATCAGATGTGCGATTCACACAGCACTCGGTTCGCAAAAAAACTCCTCTCCCTGGACATTCACTAGTTAAGTGGGCCCGACAAAATCCCCCCAATTGTGCTAAAGACTGCTTTCGTTCACCCGATCCAAAAAAAAGGCGACCGCTCCGATCCGTCAACCTTCAGGCCTACCGTCATCAATATCTTATTCTCTAAAGTAATGGAATCCATTATAAACTGCCAGCTCATGGGGTACCTTGAGGATCACCAGCTGATTAATGACCGCCAATATGGTTTTTGTCGTAGTCTATCAGCTGGTGATCTTCTGATCTACCTGACTTATCGATGGACGGAGGCAGTAGAGTCTAAAGGGAGGCATTGGCTGTTAGTTTCGACATGCGAAGGCCTTCGATTGGGTTTGACACAAAGCGCTTCTTTCGATGCTGCCTTTCTGTGGGCTTCGTGAGAAATTGTGCAATTGGATCACCAGCTTTCTTGCAGATCGGAGCATCAAGGTCGTTGTAGACGGTACATGATTCGATTACAAGCCTATTAATGCTGGCGTTCCACAAGGCTGCGTGCTATCACGGCTACCACTTGACAATATTTCATGCCAGCACACCGTCTGCATTTTTACAAGGCGCAGGTTCAGCCTCACATGGAATACTGTTCCCATCTCTGGGCTGGGACTCCCCAGTGCCAGCATCTTCCACTTGACCGCATCCAGTTAAAAGCGGTTTCAATCGTTGACAACCGAGTGCTTTCCGATCGGCTCGATTCACTGGCGCTGCTAATAGATGTTGCATCTCTTTGCATTTTCTTTCGCATCTACCACAGGTAGTACTCTGAGAAAATGTTCATATTAATCGCAGCCGCCAAATTTCATGAACGCGTTAC